CAAAATATCCCGTCAATTCTTATAACAAAATGACAAAATAAGAGAATATATGTACTCTATGTCGTTGTATAATCTTTTGAATACAACTCGATGTTTCGGGATTGCCTAAAACTTTTGCCTGACACTCAATGCGATACCGGCAACATTACTCCTCCTTCGAAGAAGATGAACAGTGCTTTCCATAAAATCAATAAAATGAAAAATATACGAAATAATATACATGTACCGGCAAAAAAAGAAACAAGCCCTATAACATAGGATACAACATTTTAATGAACAGTGCTTTCCAGAAAATCAATAAAATGAAAAACACACAAAATAATATACATGTACTGATTTCTTTCGAAAATCGACAACTATGAAACTATGATCCCTTCCCGGGCACAAACGGTACATTGTGAGACAGGAAATTGTAGAAAGAAACATGGCCCTATAACATAGGATACAACATTTTAATGAACAGTGCTTTCCATAAAATCAATAAAATGAAAAATATAAGAAATATATATACATACGTGTACTGATTTCTTTCGAAAATCGACAACTATGAAACTATGATCCCTTCCCCGACACACGGTACATTGTGATACAGGAAATTGTAGAGAGAAACAAGGTCTATAACATAGGATACAACATTTTAATGAACAGTGCTTTCCATAAAATCAATAAAATGAAAACATACGAAATAATATATATGTACTGATTTCTTTCGAAAATCGACAAACCAAACCAAATCCAACCAACAGCAATTTTAAATAAAAAAATAATGGTATTTAAGATAATTACTAAACACCTAATTTTAAAAAGTTTTAACATCCTGTAACTCTAAAGCTACCCATTTCCATGTACATGTTTATAGGAACTTTTTTTCATATTTTTTAAATCAGGAATGAATGAGTACTTATTTAAGACTTTCGCAAGTTAATGATTTAAATTTTTTTTAAAGGTTGCTATTAGACATGGATTAAGTCAAATTAATAAAAGTGCGTTGATCTCATCAAGGAGGCCGAAATCCACAGAATATCTAAAGACAAGTTTTAATCGGCATTAAACTACTTACACTAACAAGAGGAAAAAGTCAGTGGCGTACATGCTTTTTTTAGAAAAAATATTCCAGTGATAACCCATATGCACGTCCCTGGTGAATATGCCGACACTTTTTTAGCTTTAAAATATGTCGCATTTATGGTAACTTTTACTCTCAAAATTCATTCGACCTCTGAAAGTACTTGGAAGAAAATTATAATAAATCGAAAAAATATTAAGAAAACATTAATTAAATTTAACATCCTGTAGCTACGAAACAAAGCAGAATCGGACCTATGTTGATACGAAAAATAAATCTTACTTTTTCGTGAGGAATCTCCCCACGAGAGATGGCACATGTTTTTTGAGACACCCTGTATATTTTTTCTGTCTTGACTCATTTCACATAGAGAAATATTTTACTTTAACCTTACGATATTTATAGACTGAAAATATATAATGTAATATATTCATTAATAAGCCTGCTTTATAATAATTAGTGATGGGATAAATCGAGCGAAAATTCGCTCGAGTACTCGATTATTGAAATAACCGGACATCGCTCGATTATGAACGAGCGATGCAAGTGAGTACCAAGAGACGAAGGCAAGCGATCCTAGAATGAAATAAATTGGAATCCGATTTTAATGTGACATACTCGATAAAAAGCCGAGCGAATTTTCTACATATATTATTGGTAGCAAATTTATACGCCGCGTATATGTATATATTTATCCGTTGTATCTGAGGGGACAAAAATTTACGACCTACATCGACAATGCTTTGAAATAAACTAAATCAAGCGATCAAGCGAATCGCTCGCCGCTTGCTACTTACCATTCATCACCGAAAGAATGTGTGCCCTGCGTACGCAACTTACTGCTTGGCGCTTGGCGTTAACGAGTACTTACCTTACAACAAGCGACGGACGGATGAAAAACCGTATTTTTAAATACGAGTGATATATATATATTTCGCTCGAGCGATCATTCGGTTATTGCAAACCCTTGAAACTGGAGTACTCGATTATTGAAGTTAATCGGTTTTTACCATTACTGCTTATATTATAAAATTAACAAATTATAGTAAAACATTTAATTAACCGGAAACATGGTGATACCGTAATATACCGTCCGTAGATTTTCTATTCCTAAATCGACTAAATGAATATATTACTGTGCCCAAATTGGGAAGTTAAATTAAACACAAGGTATTTCAATAGGTAAAGTTAAACTTAATTAACAAGATACTCTTATATGGGGAGAGGATATGAAAAGCCGAAATTTCAATTATTAGAACATGCTGGCGGGATTGTTTCAGCAGCAAAGTTCAGTGCATAGTCAGCAATTTATTTGAATTAATTAAATTTAATTTCTTTATTAATGAAATGTGTTTAATACTTTACAGGGATGCCACGTCAAATGGTATAGCAACATAAAAAATATAGGTATATTCCTGAGTACAACGATGGACCACACTTAATATTTCTTTTTTGTCATGGGTACTTTAACAACACTATTTATCAATAGCGGCTTAACCATGAGGTCAAATGGTCAATGTCCCCCCCCCCAAAAAAAATTAGGAGAAAATTTGAAAAACTTATTTAAATTATTATTAAAATTATAGTTTTATTTAAATTATAGTTTTTGTCACTTTTTTTCGTCCTAAAATATTCAAAACTATTCCCAATTTATCCAATTTTCGCTTGAAAACATTTTATTTTACCCATTTTCTCTACTGCCGGTCAAAATTTCATTTTGTCCTTCGTTTCCGCTATGTTTTACACGCATTAAACTCCAAGTGCCGCGGCTCGTGACGCTCACAAGGTAAGGTATACTACGTATAGAAAATACAATGGGTTAAGGTGCGATAGATATAGTTTATATTGGTCATTGACCGCGTCAAGCGTCATTCAGAAAAGGATTTGTAAGGTAGGCAACTTTATACTCTGCTGGCGTTATGACAATCTAGTAAGTCGGAGTGAGCAAAAATACGAAGTATTTGTTACGTAACTACTATAATTTGACGCTAGATTCCATGCGCTTGAGAAAATACTCGCCTTCTGTCTTTATTCAGTACATCTTATTTTACTAAGCGTGTTGACCGTACTCTTCGTAGACATGAAAACCGGCACCCAAGACCAGAGATGCCGACCCTTAGTATTATACACTTGTATTTGGTGGTTTACTGACAGACAATATAAAAAGTGGCGGTTTTTGTCTTTGTCTAGAAACCAGCGTGTTATTATTGTAATTTGTAATATTGTTTATTAGTTGAGAATCAATATAGTTGACTAAAGAATATCAAGTGCATTATTTCTATATAAATATATTACTGGGTGTTTATAAAAACTTAAATTATAAAACAACCTAGGTTTTTGTATCGTTTATCGCGTATCGCGTATAATGTTTGGTTTAGTCAATACAGGATGTCATTGAAATGGTGTAAAAAAAATCAGGGAGTGATAGTACTCCTAAAAATAGTAAAAAACGTTCCTATAAGTATAGGGCGGAAAATGCATATTAAGGGAGTTAGGGGCACTGAAAGGGTGGATTTAAAAAACGGTTGTTTTAAAATATAATATGATAAATTTCTAAAAAAAATGCTCTGCCATAAATTTTGACCCTAAATTAAATGGTGATACTGAAAAATTATTTGGAAAAGCGGAAAGGGTAGTTTTTGCAAGCATAGGGGGTTGTTTTTTGAATAACTTTTTTGAGGTTATCTTTTCTGCAACGTGGGTTCATTTTTTGAAAACTACATACTTTTTCCTACAAAAAAAATACTCTTGTTGTACAGCGCCCAGAGCGATGGTTTTCGAGAAAATTGAAGGCAAAAAGTCTGCTCTGATGGGTTGCTAACTGGTTAATCAACATAAACTTATGAAAGTTATGGCGGTTCAAAAGTAACCAAGTATTATCAAATAATTAATTGAAAAATCAAAATTTCCTGATTTTTAAAACATCTTATTGCTTTAAATAACGAAATAATCCACTAGATTTCTACTTCTGGGCTACTTGAAAGCTTTGGTTTACTGAGTGCCGATTAATACTGAAGAGCAACTACAGCAACGAATTATTGACTGTTCCAGTCAAATTTGGATAACACCAAGGATATTCCACAAGGTACGCAGATCTTGGAGCAGATGTCTGCATTGAAATGAATGGTGGTCACTTTAAACATTTACTATGAATGAATTGAGGAAGGCATTATCTTAATAAGGAATTTTCGTAATTGGTTTTTAAAGCAATAAGATGTTTTAAAAATCATGAAATTTTGATTTTCCAATTAATTATTTAATAACTACTTGGTTACTTTTGAACCGCCATAACATTTATAAGTTTATGTTGATTAACCAGTTAGCAAAACCCATCAGAGCAAACTCTTTGCCTTCAATTTTCTCGAAAACCATCGCTCTGGGCGATGTACATATGTACAACAAGAGTATGGGAGAGTGGGCGAAGATGACGCACTTAAGGGCAAAGACTTGTATTATTATCATATTAAAGATAGAAAAGCGAATTAGTGAGCAATAGAAAGTTCGGAGCGATGTTTATCATTGTACTTATTAAAATCAATTTAATACTTTATTAAAAAGGGGCAATTTCTAATTCCATAAAAAGTAACACTGCGTCATCTTATCCAGTAGGTAAGGGTAAGATGACGTATTTAATAACAAGAAACAAAATCAAATAATATATCATAATTTAATTAATGAAATATATTTATTATTAATAACAGCCTCAAATATTGCTTAATGGTATATGTATTTTATTTAAATTTCAAAACAAATATAATATAATGTAATTAAAATAACATCAGTTGAGTTAAAAAAGTAAGATGACATTAGAAACAAAATTAACGTCAAAACCAACATAAAAAACTTATTATCATAAATGGCATCTATAATGCAAATGATATAATCGAAATAAACAACACAAAATAACATAAAATCCGAGAAATTATTAAATAACTCAGGATCTGCAGCTATCGCAAACAAAGCCTTCGGCTGAATCGCAGTCAGTGCACGCCATGTGTGCCCAGTAACCGCAAATCGTGCATCTAAACCACATTTCTCTGTTCTTTCCGATATCTCCACAAATGACACATTTTTCGTGCTCCGAAACATCGCTCATATTATCTAGATCGTCATCGTCGCCAATTTCTTTTTCATCAAAACTGCTCGTCTCACTATCACTGTCCGGTAGCTTTGTTCTTTTTCTTTTGAGCTTCTTGTTTGTTTTCCTACTTTTTTTGGCAATATTTTTCTTTGCAGCATTTCTTGCTTTTTCATTCTTTTTTTGTTCTTTCTTTTCCAAATCATCTTTAAAGGGGGTGCTCGTTATTATCTGTGAATGTTGTTTTTCTCGCATATTCTTCCTAATAGTAGTTCCCTTTGCCTTTGGAATAGGCAAAACTTGTGCAACGGTGATAGGCTCTGGGTCGAAATATAATAATTGTTCTTCTGGGGGCGGTTATTGCCTACTAGTAGAGGGTTGGGGTGATTTTCTTTGCACTAGGGCTGCAGTAAAAGGTGTCCCATTACGTTGTAGTGAACCATACAGATTTTCTTCCTGAGAGCCAGAATTGAAGCTCTCAGCTAGAGTGAAGTCGTCTTCGGTGAATTTTTCTGGATTTAGTGGAAATATTCCAGCGGCAGAAAAACTGGAAACTCCCTTTTCCACGTTTGCAACCTGTTCATATGCTAGCCTGAAAATTTCGGCAACATCGTAAGGCGTCAATTTATTTTCTTTTTGCTCATCGCTAATTTTACTTTTCAAAAATAAGTTGCATTGCCTACTGTAAGCGTTCTTCAGAGGCGCAAAAAAAGTCAGATCGAGCGGCTGCCACTTGTGCGAAGTATGAGGTGGAATGCTGACCATAACTATCCCGTGACTTTTGCAAAATTCGCAAATAGATAAGGATATATGGCTCGTATGTTTGTCTAATACCAATAGAACTGGATTATCAACAGAAGATGATACTTTCGCCTGAAAGTGTTTAAACCACATCATGAAAACTTGTTCATTGCTCCATCCATTTTTTGTGCAGGTATAAATTGCTCCACATGGTCCATTCCTTTCCAACTGAGGGCTCATTCTTAACCTCGGGAAAATAAATAATGGCGGCACAAAACTACCTGTAGCATTCACGGCACAAATAACCGTAATATTTTTTCCGCGTTCCCAAGAACAAATAGAACCAAATTGTTTAATACCTTTAGGTGCTAGTCTTTTGCTTACTTACTTTGGGGTTGTAGAGCATCCTGTTTCATCGACGTTATACATTCGATCAGGACCAAAATGATATTTATTTTGAATTTGTTTCAAGTTGGCGAAAAAATTACTAACTTCTCTTTTATTAAAAGGTGATACTCTGTTTACACTTGTAGCCTCTGACTTCCTCAACGAAATATCTGGATTTCTCTTTAGAAAATTACTAAACCAATCTGGTCCAGCCATGGCTTGTTCACGGTTAAAGTTGTGTTTAATATTTTTCATCTCAGCATATTTATAAGCAGCTTGTCGGAGTTCTATAGCAGTTATTCCATAAAATAATTTACCAAGATGTTTAATACGATCAGCGATTTCTCGTTCTTGTGTTCTTGAAAATACTGGAGCTCGCCCAAGTGAGTCAGACTTGCTTTCTAAAATATTCTTCCTAATTTTAGCACGACGTCTTAGAGTTGCTTCGTGGATATCGAAACTTACAGCTACCTCACGAATTTTACAACCTTGTTCTATAGCATTAAGTGCAGAAGTAAGAGCTTCTTCAGTAAATGACCGTCTTTCAGTTTTTCGTTTGTATTTACCCATCTGAAAGAAATACCACTCATAACAAATCTTTAGTTATCAACAAAAAGCATTTGTAGGCAAAGATGACGCAAGTGAGGTAAAGATGACGCGCGTCATCTTTGCCACTTCGCCAAGCGTCATCTTAGCCAATTTGCAACGGACGAAAAAAATGGCCGAATCTACTTTTCATATAATTTATCACTAGTTCTAAGAGCTTAAGCTGATAGTCATGATCTAGACTACTCACGTTACTAAGAAAAAGTAAGTTTCTCTGACAGACAAAACGTTTACACCGAATAGTTTTTGAACTAATTTTTACAGCACCTGACGTCCTTCACACTTTGGCGGCCATATAAAGACTGATTGACATCCGACTCGCTGCTAACTTCATAGGCGCGGTTGTGTTTACCTAATAGGCACACATGGATGGAAAAATTAGTTTATAAACACGGCGTGACCGAAATGTTAACATGCGTCATCTTTCCAACTGCGTCATCTTAGCCGACTCTCCCCTACCTTTTTTGTAGGAAAAAGTATGAAGTTTTCAAAAAATGAACCCACGTTGCAAAAAAAATAACCTCAAAAAAGTTATTCACGAAATAACTCCCTACCCTTGCAAAAACTGCCCTTTTTGCTTTTCCAATAATTTTTTTAATCACCATTTGATTTAGGGTCAAAATATATGGCAGAGGATTTTTTTTTCGAAATTTTAACTCGTTTTTTAAGCCTGCAATTTCAAAACAACCGTTTTTGAAATTCACCCTTTCAGTGCCCCTAACTCCCTTAACATGCATTTTCCGCCCTATATTTATAGGAACTTTTTTTACTATTTTTAGGAGTACCTACTATCACCCCCTGAATTTTTTTACACCATTTCACTGACACCCTGTATAAATCAATGTTCAAATTTTTAATATCGAAAATAAAATTAGTTTTAGTTGCCGTAGCTTTGTCGTAGCCGAGAGTTTGAGATGCAAAGCAAAATTTGTGTAGGTAATAATTCATAATTTTCTGGTTCTGGATAAATGATGAACTCTTGTTGATTGATTCTGGAATAGACATTTTCAAATAGACAACAGATGGTGTTTCGTTTGTAAAATCGTGCGGTTAAAAGAAAACAATTGCTTACATTTCGAAAAACGTTTAGAGAAAGAATTGACTTAAAATATAAAAAAATGCGAAATAAAACTTTTAGAAATGTGTATGTGTATATATTATGTATTTATATTTCTGTGACATTATTATTTAAGTATCTTTTAAATCCTACCGTGGAAAATTTGTGTAAAGAACATTGACTGGATTTTTAGTGAAATGGCACTAGACCACCTGTTTAAAAATGTAAGGGTAGGTTTTATTTTAACATAATTTGTATTTATTTTTAGATTTTTTTTCCTTTAACGGAACATACAAATACCTTGTAAGAAACCAATCAAATTTGGTCGCGTCTTGAAAAAAATCGACGCAATATTTTTAGATATTGACGTCCCTATAATCTACAATAATAACCACGAGCCGCCACTGCTATTTATACTATGTAGTTTCAAGTCCGGCTCTGGATTTTTAAATTATTTAAGCACATTATATTCATCGTAACAATATTGATGAGCGCTAACTAACATTGAATAAGTAAAATAGAGCCAATTGAAAGATTCAAATAAATAATATCCTACTCGTATCAAATCATAATGAACGATCTGATAATATGAGTAATATTAATTTTATTATTGTAAATAAATCAACTTTTACAAACTAGTTTCTAATGTTCTACATGTTCGAAAGGATTACTATCCTCCCTAATGCAGAAATTTATTTTTCGTTCAATTTTGTTGTACGTTGTCGTTCGTATTATTTGTTGTATTTTGATGTTGTATTGTTGATTTTTATATTGTATTTGTTGTTGTATTTTGATATACTCTTTCGCCATTTCCAATCCATCCAGGAAAATGATGTGATTTTTTATATAATATTATATATTTTATATGGGTACGACCCTTTATTATTTATATTATTTATTTTAGGGGAGTATTATTTTTTATTATTTTATTTTATTTGATTTTCCGTATTCAGTGTTTTACCACACGTCATTGCTAAGTTTTAAAGCTCATCAATATTTTTAAGAAGAATAGATTAAATATTTTAAAAACCCAGAGCATGATTTGAAGTTGTTTTAAATAAATTGTGTTTAACTGTCTAAAACAAAAAAATAAGTGTAGTACGTCGTTGTACTCAGGAGACCGAATTCTTTCAAAATCCGAAATATAAAATGCAGGTCCGTATTTAAAAAAAAAGTTGGCCTATGTATCTCACAAATTATCAATTTAAAAATCTAAAAATACTATCAGGTAGGCTTCATAAAGTGGCTATGAGAATGTGCAATTAGTTTTTGGATTTTGTAGATATATGTATGGATTTGTAACGACAGAGAAAAATAAAATTGGTTTACAAAAAAATAACTCAGCAATCCTTGAAATGTTTGAAACTTTTTTGATAGCATCTTGGTGAACATCCCAAGGCGCAAGTCTGCTTCAATTTAATCTTGTTCGTATTTATTACGGTTTCCGAGATACCAGTGCTCGTAACCTGAATTTCTAGCACCCGGTATATTACCATATGACGTTTCATCTTTATAGTGTGACCAACGGATCTGTAGCTACGGGGTATCGGCAGGGGAACGCAGTTGTAAACAAGACACGCCCAATTTCATTCATAAAATAGGCATGGGCGTACGGTGTTTTATGAAAATAATGTGTATCATAAATATAAATTCTGATTAATAATTTTTTTTTCAAAAAACTTTATCCTATTTGAATCGTTACTGTTGAGTTAGCAGATAAACACACTAAAAGCTTTTATTAAAGCTCCCATAAATATTTTGAATAATTTTATTATTATGTGTTGTTAATATAATAGAAGAAATAATTACAGCTGGGGGTTGGAACCTTTGGTGTCACACAGCAAAATAAAACACTAAATCAGCACAATACACCAAAACACTTTTACTTTTACACTGGGCGCACGTTTCGCTAACCATGTTAACATCATCAGCAGATGATCAAGACTGAGTCTTGAGATATATTTATTTATATATCTGTACTAACTATATTTTTTTCTACAATACATAATTTTAGATATAACTATTTCCAGCAAAAAAAAAATTTGAAAATAGTTAACTTTGGAAGCGCAAACAAAACATAATTTTACTCACCAGTAGATCCAATATTGCCTATTACACCAGATATGGTATCGCTCCGCCAGCACTTTTTAAAGGTTAGGTCATTGTCTACCCATGTTTCATCCAAATAGATAATACTTGGCGATATTTTCGAATTTCGCGTATATATTTATATCTCTCTCTGCAATATAATGGGCCGCTCCATTAATATTTATCTGTTATTTTGACATTTACGCCAAAAAAATCCATTTGATTTTAATAACCCCTTAAGCGTTTCCCTGTCAAAGGAAAATTCGATTCTTCCTGCAATTTTTGCAAAAGCTTTCTAATTGTGGGGACGACTTTGAATTCGAGATAAAATCTATTTATCAAATTCCTGACCACTTGGAAATCAAAGTCGTCGAGCTCACGTAGCCGTTTCTTTCCAGGACTGCATATCATTTTATCGGGGTAAGTTTCCAGTCTTTTTTTATCTTCTGTGTGAATTTTTTTATAGCCGACACGCTAACTCCGGTATAAAGAGATATCCGCTCAAGTTTACGTTTAAGCGGCAACTTAAGCGAACTCTCTGTAGCTTCGTCGCAAACCCTGTTATGAACACAAGGAAATAAACCAAATGAGATTTCATCCACGTTTATTTACATTTATTTCAGTTTAGCTAAAATATTTAGGTAAAATGTGGTGCTTTTCATTTTAGCCAATATTTAATTTTAGTATTCTAATAATTACATTATTATTATTCTACTTGCCTATATAAATTAGCTATTATTTCTCTTGTCCTGACTATGTAGCGTCTTACCCTTAACAAATTTATTCATTTTAAAACACAAATATACGATCAAAATTAATATTAATAATTAAAAACTACGAACGAAAAACATTATAACAAGATAACAAAAAAACACATTTTAACTATTAAATATACGAAAAACATAGGAATAAAGTTTAGGATAACCGGTATAAAATAATGAAAGAAAGTAATAATGATCAAAAGAATGACACCGCCACTGGATATTTCAATAGTATTCAATATTTCTACTCTTTTCAGAAGTAACCGTGAAGTTGGGGATAAGGCTAGCGAATAGGAAAGGCGTAAAAGCCATGGCAACCGCGTGGTAACAAATCCTGTGAC